GCAGTGACAGAATCGATGTCAACAGCTGGAAGAAGAAGAAGAAGAAGAAGAAGAAGAAGAAGAAGAAGAAGAAGAAGAAGAAGAAGAGGCGAGAAAGAGGAGACCGATACAGCGAGATCAGTGGCAGCAATGAGTTAGCAGGGTTGGGACTCTGATGGCAGTCTTTAAGCTGGTTATAAAGAAGCTGGGAAGAGATCCATCTCAATCCTACAATTCCATCATTAACTCTTCCATCAGTTCCATCGTCAATAGAGGAATGATTGGCTGTTGAGAGCTCAGCCAAATTGATATTTACCAGTATTATTAATCCTATCTCGATCTTGACTTGCATCGAAATAATGGATACAGCACTAAATGGTCCTCTGTCATTTTTGTAAGCTTAAATATTTTGAATTGAGTTGGTCCAGAAAAATTATAGATATTTGGATGTAAGTTAGCTTTTTTACGAAAAATGTCAGTAATTATTGAATTAGTTTGTCTTTATTCCATGTGGAACAAAACTTCCTATAGATTGAGAATATCTGAAATATTTAATCTTATATCGACTTACATAAAGATCGAAATCGAGCGAGATTTTTAACGTGATGTATCCCACGATTAAGTTAGTAATGAAATGAAATAATAAATCAAGCAAATATTAATTGAATTCGATTATTGTAGTATATGATTAGCTTTTTATAATTGGTTCATCTTGAAAGAATATTTTACAATTTGAATAGAAATAATGTCGACACTCAATTGTTGACCAAAATCTTGACCATCTCGATCCAATTGGTCTATGACATGTGGAGCCCTAATTGAGATGGATATTTTTCCTATCGACCCTAAACCTTGTTCGAAACATGAGATGAGTCTTAAGTTTTGTCGTGTCATTGTTCCCCGTAAAGTATTATAAAGTTGAAACGCATCTACAGGAATCTTATCACCATTGTCAGTTGTTTCCTTGGCGTTGATCACCAAATGGCGTTAGGTGCCACATGTATTGATGATACTATATATAGCAATGGTAAGAACAGTAAGCACTTGAGTCAAATCACATTATATATAAATTTTCATTTTATAATACATATATGCTATGCTTCGGTTGATAAGGCCGTATCCATAGCTGTTGGCCCATGTTCAACATGGCGGAATGCAAGTTCTATAGATCACTTCATGGAGAAGTTATATCATAAAGTTGATTCCATCAAATCAGGTGATTGAGTGAGAGAAAATTGTGAAAATGAACGGTCGAGGACGAGTCTTCATAAGCCTGCAAGTTCCACTCGCCCATGCGGTGTTGCACGGAAGCTTCTTGCGCTGTCATAGAATTCTCTATGTTGAAGCTTCTTCCACTGTTGTAGAAATCGAAAAGTTAATTTGTTTGTTCATGCCACACGAACTTGTAATGATGTCTCAGTTATATTAAGATATTATATACAAAGGAGATGACCACGAGCTGTGGGCAACGCTGTACTCCATTAGAGAGAGAAGGAAAACACTGCGACGGTGTCATTTTTCTGGACGGCCCTCAGGTACGAAAGAACTCTAATTAGTCACAGAAGAAATACCACGAACAGAACACGCAAAGGTACTTCGTTGCCAACCAAAGAAAACAGAAGGAGAAATGTGATTTTGATATATGATTCTTGTACTGGATCATCAGACAGTAGGTATAGATCAAAATTTAGAGGTATGAATTATGACGTTCCGTTCTGAGCAATATAAACGAAGGTTCAGCAGGAGCAAGTAGGAAACGAAAAAGTAGACTTTACCAGCTTTCTCTGTGCAATTCATACAAGCAAAGAAAACACATAGTCCTCCTCGTCGCTAAAAACACATCCTTGGCAAGTATTCATTGCCACAGTCTTGAAGAATTAAATCTTGAAGTCAACGTCCACGTCCATCAAAGAAGGTTAAACATACGGAACCATAGTTCACAAAATGAACCGGCAACTAAAGGCCACCCTTTCTACCTTAACGCAATGAAACCAAAGCAAACTAAAGAACGACAACGTTGGATGTCAGAAGCCAGACAAGGGATCCGAAGTCGTCTTCTCCGACGAACCCGCCACCTCAGTTTCCCTGACGAATGGCCCGGACGCCGTCATCCTGCACATGACAAACAACCCATTAGAATCATGAATACGATACTAAATATTAGACTTTGTCCGGTCTCATCTGCACCACATATTCCTCGCTTGCCGTAAATATCTGTTCCAAGTCAACTTAAAGTAAAGTATTAATAATACGTAGGATGCGGTTGGTATAGGTTGTTCTCACGTTTTATTTTCCTTTTCGTATTGAAGCTATTATTCGTCAGTAAAAATATGTGGACAGTGACAACCATGCTGAGGTGCATTCGTATATGTATATATATTACATGTGGTTAAGAAGGAACGTGCGTCCCGCTTATGTTAATATAATTTGAAACATACCATTCTCGTGACCTCGCCATGCCACCAACAATTAATCTGATCACGTGAAAATAATAATAAAAACTTATTGTTAATTACTAAATACACTCCTCTCCCGTACTTCGTTGGCCGTGAGATCCGCGGTCCGATTCAAGGCGGGAGGGACTGACGGACGGTGGATTCGAGACCCGCATGGATATTTGTAAGTGAAATAAATTATATTACCTTCGCTTGCGCTTCTCGAGGAATCGCCGCAGCGACTTCCTCCGCGCCATCGGCAGCGAGTCTGCACGAAGAAGAGAGGCTTCCATCTCAGGCAAATGCTCGGTTAACGCATCCTAAACGACGTTAGAGGAGTTTTTGGATTTGGTGGCTACCTCGGTTAAGTTCGCCGAGCGACCGTTCCCTTCGGCCGTTACCCGCGTTACCGTCCTCCGCCAGCTTCAAAATAACCTCCACCTACAGCATTTATTAATATTTAGTGCTGTTTCTTTGGATAAGAAACGGAGAGAAAAAGGAGACCGGAGAGCGCGAGAATGAGAGGGGGAACGGAACGGGATGGGGAACAAACCCTTTCTTTTGGGAGGTCGAAGACGGCCACCGCACCGTTGTAGAAGATCGTCAGCGGCGCCGTTCCCTTCGACATCTCCCAAATCGGCCTTGAAATTGTTTGAGAAAATAATACAAATCCGATTCAGTTTTTTGCACGAAGAAAAAGTTGAAGACAAATAGTAGAATGGCGAACCGGAAGGAGGGATTCAGAACCGGCAGCGGCGACGAAGACGGGGAGGGGAAGAACATGGCGGTCTCAGCAAGCGGCTGTGGAGTCGCGGCCGGCCATGAGTGGCCGGGGGCGATCGCGCTCCTGATAAGTTGGGGGTTGACCCTGGAGAGTTGTTTACCTTAACCAAAGCGCAAGACGATAACAACCATCAAGAACGACCACAAGATCCGAGAACAAACACGCCAAACGCAAGAAAAGGCCATATACTAAGAAAAAGAAGGGAGAGACAGAGGAGGACCTCGGGCGGGACTTGTTCGATCCAAGGCGTGGAAGCTGGCCGCCATCTCCTTCTCGATCCCGAAGAAATCGAGCTCCACCAAGGTATTACCCCTCGCCATTCCTTCTCCCTTCGGCTGCTCCCTCTGCTTATTTCCGTTATATTTTTGTTGTCGTGGTGAGGAATGATACTGCAGAAGCAGCAGCGCGGCAGCAGCAGCAGCGAGAAATAGCAGCGCGCCTTCCTTCCATTAGTTTTTTAACTTCCCCGAATCACCCATCTACTGGCGATGTAATATCATCCGTTGGTGTCACTCGGTGGTGAGATCAAACGGCTGCAGAGTTCGAGTAACGGAGGGGTAATTTAAAAATTTTGGGAAAGCATTAGGGCGAGATATGGAGACATGCGATTTGATGAATCGCGGGTTCGGCTGGTGTCCACGCGGGCGTCGTGGGCGATCGAACGCACGTGACCCCAGCGTGTTTTACTGAAACGGACACGTGTCGAGAGTAGGAAGGTGAAACGCGAAACAACCTTGGGACTTCCGCGGTAGGTACGGATTCTGCTACGCAGTCTGCGGCATTTCTCTACGGACCAGAAGTTGCCACGTAATGGATTCAAAGGGGATCCCTGAAGTCGACGTTGGACCGGATCCTGGGAGTCCTCGGGCCACCGTACCCGTACCAGCTGTGTCTGGTCACCGCCCGTATGTACGATGCATTTGTGATATTTTTCGCGGAGGATTGCACGGACGCGTATAGGGCCTGTAAAATACCCTTATCAGGGCTGCTGCACACGTGACAGTCGAATACTCCAAAGCATGGGAAAGTGATCGAATGAAAGGAGGATAGGAATAGGCCGGGAAACGGGGAGAGGTGCGGACTAAGGTCGGTGGCGTTTGGGTGTCCCGCAAGTTTCTAAGGTCAAAAAAGGCATCACATGTGAGGCAGGTGTCCAATGCGAAACGTATGTTTGTTGATCGATAAGGTTCATTGGATGCTTAGATCACTAACGAGTCGGAAGAACTTAATCAGGTGTCGAATACGATATATATATATATATATATATATATATACTACC